ATTATTATTATTATTATTATTATTATTATTATTATTATTATTATTACGTTATTCATATTATTTCAATTATATCTAAATTATAATTAATTCGATTTTTTTTTAAATACCTATAAAATCGTAAATATTAGATAATTTAAAATAAGGAACGAAATATTTGCAAAAGGTGAGATATATTTATTACAAATGTAAAATTATATATTTAATACAATCAGTTATACGTTAAATGGCAAAACATATTTTTTACAATCAATTGAATCGAAAGTATCGAATTGTCAATATCGATATGTGTCAGTGTTGTATTGATATGTGTATACTGCCATTTTATGATTTAATCTGGCACTTTTGACATTTTTTATTAAAATTTGTTATATCTAAACAATTTTTTATTTTTTTGTTTTTAAATAAATCAGTTAATTAATATGTCATTACGGAGAGGGTTACTTGCTGTCAGAGATATAAAAATGTTACAAAGAACATTTGTTGAGAGAACAATTTTTCAATCCTCACGAAAGGTTTGGAATTATATCTAAGCTCAATTTTACTTATTATATTGTATAACACTTCTAAATCTATTGCAACCAGAAAAATTTTCTATTTTTAATCAGTATTGTAAGTTGTAACTTGATAATCTGACTGTATTTTGCAAATTGTAAGTTTATTATTAATGGTAATATTCTATAAATTTTAATGTACTATACAAAGAAATCTAATTAATTTTTATTATTAGAGAAATAATCAACATACATTAGCAAGGAAATTATGTGCTGGATCATCATTTATGGCCATGGGTATTTGGGGTTTCTCGAAAAAGAAAACTGAGAATGAAGCAGTCATAACCACAAAAGAAGTTTTAGTAGCAAAAGCTGATGCATTGTATGACCAGGAACAATACCAGGAAATATATAAACTTCTGATAAATTATAAAGTAAATATATTATTTGTATGATTTTTTATGTGTATGTGTACAGAATTAAAAAACTTTTATAGGATAGTGAAGATATTGAAATTATATGGCGTTTGTGTAGAGCAATGTATAAAATGTCTAAGACTAGTAATGAAGTAGATGGAAAAAAGTTAATTTTTGAAGCTTGTGATTTAATATTTGGAGCAATTAAAATAAAAGAAGATCATTGGTCAGTACACAAGTGGGCATCGATTCTTCTTAATTCTAAGACTCTTTATGAAGGAATAAAAGCTCAAATAAAAGAGTCATATAACATTAAGAAACATATGCTGGTATATTTTGTGATTATATACATAGATAGATATTTTATATATGTAGATATTATATTAGATTATATATAGATATTTGATTCATTAATAGCAAGGAGTAATATATGTATCTAATATTGCAGAGAGCAATAGAATTAAATCCAAAGGAACCAACACTTATGTACATGTTAGGTACTTGGTGTTATCAAGTTGCTGATTTAACTTGGTATCAAAGAAAAATTGCGTCAGTGATATTTGGAAAACCGCCTTCATCATCATTTGAAGAAGCTTTGAAATATTTTAAAACTGCAGAGGAAATTGATCCCAATTTTTACAGTCAAAATTTGTTAATGTTGGGAAAGACCTATCTAAAATTAAATCAAAGAGATCAAGCTTTGAAATACTTAAAAATGACCGTTGAATATCCAGCAAAAAATGAAGATGATCGCGATGCTAAGCAGGAGGCACAAAAATTGTTAAAAAACTTTTGATGAACATTGTATGAATCATAACTATACAATAGATGATTGCACGTAAGACTTAAACAAGTTTTTAGTTTAAAGGATAAGCTAAATTTAAAATCATTATTTCTTAAGTAAGAATTATCTATTTGAAGTGGGATGCAATATACATTTTATATTGATTAACTATTTTATTTTTATATATGCACTGTTACAAAGTTATATATATTGTTATAAAATTGTTTTTTTATATATGTACATGTAAAAATTTATATAAAGATATAGATAACATATATCTTATATAGATATTGATAATTATGTGAAGGCTTAAGACTACAATTACGATACATATTAAAATATTTTATATAATTTGTTAGTTTTATTAAATATTTTATATATAAATTATACACATATTTTGTGTATCTTATACACATATTTTAAGTATATAGACATTAGTAACATGAAAAATAGTCTGTGATCCAGTTGTAAAAAATCGCACATATACAGATAATTGCGTGCCTAATTCAATACATCACTGAATTATTGATGCCCATTTTTTAACCAGTTAAACAATTTGACAGTATATTAAGTTATAAACAGATTATTTAAGTATGTGTTTATAACTTATAAATTATATTGTTTTAATTTGTTTCATTGAAATTTTTAAAAAATAGTTGGATTAAGTTATCGTTCAATAATTTCAGAGTCATTATTATTTTCATCATCATTATTATTGTCGTCACCATTCTGTTTTATTTCTAACTCTCTCTGTTCTTGTAATTCGCTTAATAAATTAAGATATGGACCTGCATCTTCTAAGTGACGTAGTGGAGTTCTGAATCCCAACAAGTGCAACAAAATATAATGATGCATGGTGAAATATGTTGTGTAGTGACCACACGGGCAATCGTAGCGTACTATTATGTGACTCGATGGTATATTTCTTAACCGTCGTCTAAATGTTCTTTCTTCAACCAGATGATTTCTGCATCGTCGTGGCATTTTTTTACTAAAATATACGAAGTAAAATAAGAAATTAGGAAAAAAATATGAACACGTTTCTTTTGGAATGATAGTTGGTCAAAAAATTAAATTGATAGTCTATTTTAAACTAAATGAAAGTAACGATAGAAAATACCTTATAATAAAACTATTTTCACTGCGAAGATGGTTTTCTGGACAAAATCACTTCCGTATCTGGATACGTCGGATAAATTCTAACTTTGGACGACTACGAATGTTCTGTCTCAACTGAAACTAAATGACGAACTAAGCAGTTCGCAACCTTATATACCCCTGTGGTAATTTACCTGAACCAAATCTTTTAGGGATACCTCCCACTCTTCTATCTACCTGGACTAAGTACCTAAACTATCCTACTTGAAATATTACACATCATAAATTTCGAGAACAATTTCTATAGTACTTGTTATGTCCCTGGTATTTTCTTTTGAAGTCTTAGAATATGATTTCAGTTTTAGTTTAATTATTGGAATTTATTTAATTTATGCCAAATTGCATCATAAGATTATCTATTTAATTTATGCCCTGCATCGTAAGAAACAAGGAGATTTTACATAAAAGTATATATATAAATTAGCCCACTTAAGAAAATGAATAATAACAATAATTGAAAAGAATTTCAATCTATTATTAGTCGTCGAATTTTGAAAGTCAATTATTTGCTTTTTAACTTACGATTTTTAATAAATAATAATTTACTGTTATTTCTATCTATATATTATCAAAGTATTAGAATATAGTACTTGTCTTAAATGGCAGTTTATACGTATATATTGATAGGAAGTTCGTATGATCTATATTTAAACTTTTTTATAATCTATTCGAACGTATATACATACACGTCTATATTCGAATGAATAATACTTTATACAGAATTATATACTAATGATTGAACAAGATATCGATTATCCTTTTATTATTTTTTATGGATTAATTACAGTTGCTGTATTAAATACAGTGGAAATATTAATCGATATAGTTGTTTGAACTGTTCTAGAAATTAAATTGTAAATATTGGTTTTCGAATTTCAAATTTATTATCAAGGAACAGTATAAAGTTAATATTAATGATAAAAAAGATAATAATAATACCATTATATTGTTCATATTATATACAGTTATACAGAGTAAAAACGTAGAATAAAATTTTTTCATTTGAAGCTTACTTGTTGATCGAGAAAGTTGAATTTGAAAATTGATTCATTATAGAATATCTATTTCCAAAAACTTCAAATTCATAAAATAAAATTCACACGTTATATACGAACACAAACACAATCAACATTATCTATTATTCAAGAAACTGTACGTCAGCTTAACTTTCAATTTTCTCCAATTCGGTTTTTCTCGAAGACTAAGCCTAAAAGGGAAAAATTTTATTTTATTCATGAGAAGTCGTTCCATGCCTGTTTACATGTATTATCCGATATTTAGTTAGTTATGTCGAAAAATTATTGGTTTTAGGAAATATTTTAATCTTAATTCTATATTGTCCATTGTATGAAAGACGAAGAAAGGCGGGGACAATACTTTTGTCTTTATGCGTTTCTTTTCTTTCGTATACAGATTTTATAAAATTAAAGCTAAGATATTTCCTAAATCAATAACTTTTTTTTTATAGAGAATGTCAAGCTACATGAACATAACTAAATATTAAAAATATATCACACATACAAGAAAATGGATGTGATAACTTACTCTAAATTATATAATCCCATTGATTTCTCATATATTTTTGTACGAGTACAACAGTCGTTTCCATTTCTGATCAAGATTTGACACTCTGTATACACTACATATATAATTCAAAAGCATTTATAGTTTGTTTTCCTACAACAGGCAATAACGACTGGGGTAATTGTCAACAGAAATTGAAACGATAATATTATTGGATATTACTGTATATTCTTAATATTCATTTAAATGTTTCATTATATTTATTAATTGTGTTTAAGCATTTGAAAAATAAGGTAATCAAGAATGGTTAAGATAGAAATAATTAATTATAATATGATTATTGAATTTTGACATGCGGATGACTCCACACCTGTGTCACAAAAAATTTCTAATTTGTGACGATGCTGGGACAGTGGTATAATTCTCGTTAGATTCGACGATTTCTCCCACTTTAACGTTGTTTATCATTTCCAAACATTTATAACCGTTTCAATAATTCTCTAACGTTCATAGAGCGTCCGCTTTGGACATTTTTCGCTTATTTTTAAACTTTCTTTTGTGTTTTTTGTGCATTACAAATTCTTTAGTAAGTACACTATTCTACGTTAATGTATTTTTTTTTTTACGTTAATATATAATTTTCTTGTTTACTGTTTCGGATATAATAATTTGAAAAAAAATTTTTTTTAGGCATTTTTTGCGCAGATATATTCATAAAAATGAGTGAACCAGATAAGAAACAAGGTAAGAAATCGCAAAATTGAAAATTCTTTTTTCACATTATTCTTTTTTTTTTTTTTTCGTAGGGCAAAAGCGAAAATTGAACATAGAAGATATGCCTGGATCTAGTGGCCTTCAAGGTAATTTTTCTGTTTCAAATATTTTAAAATTAAATTG